ATAGATAGATAGATAGATAGATAGATAGATAGATAGATAGATAGATAGATAGATAGATAGATAGATAGATAGATAGATAGATAGATAGAGAGAAGCAACTCTAAGATCCATCAAACAATACAGTTGATGATCTCCATGATCACCTCTGTATACCAAAGTACTGTAGAGTCAAACTGAGAAAGAAAGGAATCGGGGTGTTGCACTGGGCCAATCAAAGTCCTGACTTCAACCTGACTGAAATGCTGCAGCGGGACTCTAACAGAGCTGTGAATAAATGAATGCCAGCAAATGTCACTGTAGAGGAGACTGGTCCAAATTTGCTCCATGATGATGTGAGAGACTGGTAAAAGTCACAGAGAAAACACTTACTTGACTCCGTTGCTGTTAAAAGTAGTACAACAAGCTGCATGTTGCCTTAATTTATGTTAAATAAATAATTTCTTTTTACCATGACTGTGAATACAAAATGCAGAAATAAATACAATAATAATTATTAATAAAAAAATTAATTAATTGAATATAAGATTAGATAAAAAATTCAAATAATAGTAATAATAATAATACGATATGAGAGTAAACTCATTAAATTAAAAAATAATGTATACATTTATGTTTAATCACAGTGTGTCATGGATTTAATGGGCTACTTATTGATTTTAGTTTTATTAAGTATATAACTTACTATTACTGTAATACACAGTTGTCACACAGCTAGCAAGTTATAATTGAGCCCTATAATCTTCATGTATTAATAAGTTCTGATTTATATTATTTTTACAGAGAGCCTTTCATCTATTTTATCCTTTTGTGTCAGTGACTATTGACATTAAGCCATGGATTGTTGCAAGAGGAATACTGATCTCTGTGGTTTGTTTTCTGCAGTGCGGGCTATGACGCTGTCCTGGACAGAAATGTAGCCATCAAGAAGCTGAGCAGACCCTTCCAGAACCAGACCCATGCCAAGAGGGCATACCGGGAGTTGGTGCTTATGAAATGCGTCAATCACAAAAATGTAAGCGATTCAAACGAGAGGTAACAAAGGACCAAAGAAAAATGTATCCCGACTTGAATGAGATGCAGTTTAAAACTGCACCCCAGTCTGAGTCTATTTCTGGCTCCTGCTAAATCCCTTTGCTACAAAAGCAGACAAGTCGCAGCAACGTTATGACCGTGCTAAATTCCATGCCTCCAGAAATGTACTAAACTGGCAAGAGACTGAAACAGAGAGTGCTTCAAGGCATGGATGTAATCACCAGTGCCGCAGTTTGTGCTCTTCTGCCTCTTTTTTCCATCCTCCACATTTATCCCCACTTTGTTTCGTTTCGCCTCTCTGGTTTACTCTGTCTCTCACTCAGCGGTGTCCTTCAAGAGGGTCATTACTAACTTGTGCCCACAGTCCCCTGCTTTAATGTCTTTTCTTGTATTTTTACTGCTCGTTGTTGACCCTGTTCATGCTGTTCTCTTTTTCAGATTATCAGTTTATTAAATGTCTTCACACCACAGAAATCATTAGAGGAATTCCAGGATGTGTAAGTATACTCAGGAAAAAAATTAGCAAGAAAACGAAACATGTGTTCATTTAAAATGCCAGACAAAACACAGGGAGTCTTTTTACACTACATTAGGTGCTTATTACTCCTTTGCACCTCATTCGTTTTTGACAACTATTCGAGTGGAATCAGTGAACGTACTGCAGGTGTAATGTGAGGCAGCCGGAGGTGTCCTGTTTCCATAATGAATGATAAATGAGAGTGAATTCACTTTTAGAACAATATCTGTGTAAATAGTACCAGAGTGAGAGTTATCGGCCCACGTGGAGGCTTTCAGTTTCTCAGCAGTAACTCGTGGGCCACACATCTCACACGTGTGTCAACCATTCATGCATAAATTAAACTTTTTTTGTTTTTGTTTTTTAGGTATCTAGTGATGGAACTAATGGATGCCAACTTGTGCCAGGTGATTCAGATGGAGCTTGACCATGAGAGAATGTCCTACCTGCTCTACCAGATGCTGTGTGGTATCAAACATCTGCACTCAGCCGGCATTATTCACAGGGTAGGAGAGCAAGCCTGCTCTGTCTTCTTCTTCCACTGCTGGATTTGGTTTGTGTCGTGTGCTTTTAAATCTTCAGCAATGTCAATATATTGCACACGTTTTGTGCCATCACCTCAATCGCTTTAGTGAGAAAACGCTACAGAGACCAGGGCTGAGAAGCGGGAACAAGTGCGCACTGGACTCTGCAGGTTTTGCGTGCCACATCCATGAAGGCAGACAGCATTTGCATTTGTAGAAAGCGCCTTCCCTATGTCAACAATAATTTAGTCCCGACATTGCTGCAGTTCAGAATTACCTCCTGTAAAATAGCAAATTGTTGTTCTAACACCCCGACTTGTGTGAGGATCAAACAAAGAAAATATGTGTTGATAGAATTTTAGAGTTGCTGGAAGGTTTGTTATCATCAGAGCGAGGCAGTCTAGTTCATCCTCGTTCTTTCATTTCCCTTATTTTCCACGTTTTTGTTCTATTCCCTTAAATGAAAAACTGAAGTATTATACTAAAGAGTCTCTTACATGAATCATTAACAAACAATAATTGTTAATAGACTTTCTGTGAATAACAGCAGGAAATAATCATTAATATACATTTTTTCTCATTTCCCATTGCTTTTGCCAGGATCTCAAACCAAGCAATATAGTGGTGAAATCAGACTGTACCCTGAAAATCCTGGATTTTGGTCTGGCTAGGACTGCAGGCACCAGTTTCATGATGACCCCATATGTGGTGACCCGATACTACAGAGCCCCAGAGGTCATACTAGGAATGGGATACAAGGAGAATGGTGAGATTAAATAGAGTCATGGCATTTAATTTTTATTAGTATTAGTATTTGCTTTTAGATCCAAGTACAACTGTAACTGTACACTGCAAATTGTAAATAAAAACAGAATGTGATGACTTGCAAATCTCATTAATCCATATTTTATTCACAGTAGTACACAGAAAACATATCAAATGTTTACACTGTGAAAATGTGCTATCAAAAAAATCAAAAACGCTCAAGCTAAACAAATGGCGGGAAAAGTGGTACAAAAAATGGTAATAAAGTGGTAATAAAAAATTTTCTAATATGGTTATATCATCAATTACACTTTGTAGTTTATTGGCACTTTTTTGCACTTGGTTATGTTCTTGCTGTGGCAGTGAGCCAACATAAAACTGATGTGGTGGAAAAAAGCCTTTGAAATGTTTACATTTTAAGAAGCTAATTACGGCTCTATGTGTTTTTAAACCATCTATCAATAAACAAACTGCTCACATGTGCAGATGATCGTTTGATGATGATTCCAAATTAAAGTGTCATATCATTAACTTTAAAACCTTATCAACAATTCAGGTCAAGTGACTTAAAGTGCTGGAGTTATGAGTCACTGATTAACCCCTTAGCAGTCCTATTAGTCCCCTAAACCATCCAATGTCCCGTGGGCGGTACGTCCGACTGCTAACAGTTTAAAAGCCCCCAGAACACGTGACTGAGTGCCAGCCTCAGTGACTCATTAGCCATATATCTCTGAAGAAGGGAAGCCTGAAAGCTCCAGGGCTTTGAATTTCCTGCCACTAGTTAGTCTATCTGAGGCGCTGCTTCACTGTACTTCACTCTGCTCTGTCTATCTCTGTATTCAATTCTGATTTGAATCCTGAAACATGCCTCTCACTAATTATTCCTCTCTCAATTAAAACCAGTTAGCATCTGATCACTAATGCCAGTCTATGAGCTGTCTGTGGACAACACTAACCTTTGCTTTCCCTCCTTGTGTTTTGCTCCCTCTGTGTCTCATCCTCACCTCTATGCGTGCAGTGGATATTTGGTCGGTGGGGTGCATTATGGGAGAAATGGTGCGCCACAAAATCCTTTTCCCTGGCCGGGACTGTATCCTTGTTAATAAAAACAGATCAATTCTTTGACTGTGGCTTTTTACATGTTGTAGTTTTGCTCATAAAAGTCAAGTGACACTCACACTGAAAATAGGTTTTTTAGTTTAAAGTATAAGCAACCATGTTCAGTTTTGATTGATTGTGATGCTCTCTGAAAGCACCTGAGAGTATCTGGAAGTGCTATGCCAGCTAAGGAAAAAGAAGCTGCCGCCATGTAAGCAGGTAAAGATCTTAGAAATATAACTTTTAAATGGTGTTTTGGTCAAGCAGCTACTGAGCCTGATGTTTGCTGTATGTTACTGAGGTGAACTAAACCGCACTCACATCTGGCTGGCTTGTAACACAGATTTATAGCAACAACAACTTATCTTCTTTAACGCTTTTCACTTAACCTAGTAACATCATAAAATGCTCTTTTCAATGCTTTTTTTCAATGGGAAGAGGAAATTCTTTCTTACCTTATTTCTGAATATTTACATGTGTGCTCTTAGAGTGCTACCTGGTGTTTTCTCTTGCAGTGATCGGGGTGTGCTACATCCCTGAGAAGACTTCCTTTAGTAGGGTGGATTTGTAAAAATAGTCCCTGTGCTGGAGTTGAGGACATGCGCACATATGGGATGAGCACATCTACATGTATGAGTCAGGAATGCTAATTAAATATTCAGTAATGAGTGAATAATATTGAGTATTCCCTTTGAGCATGTGTAAATAGCAGCCTGGTTGAACTCAATTAGCAGTGGAAAGTTCAAAGGTTGAAAGTGTAGTCGATTAGCACATAGTAATTCCCCTGTAATTAAATGAAGTTATTTGAAATTAAAATGTAATTATATTCACCCACAAATACTTAAAGACAGATACGCAATTACGGGTGTCAAACAAATGCTAAAATGCTTAAGTAAAAATTAATTTTAAGTGCAGACATCAAACATTTTCCCATCTTACATCGTAAACACACTGTACTTTTCAGGCCAGAGGTCTTATTATGGATTGGATTAATGTTGCCTTTTGATATCTTTATTTAATATTTATAAAGTTGATGTGAATGATGGATGTTCTATTATTCAACTGTCCTTTTATTCTACCAATATATATGTGATAAGGACTGTTCCCACTCACCAACTTATGAGAAAACATAAATACCATCAAAACTTGTAGGTGTGTGACCTTATATTGATGGAGCCAAGTCGAACTTGATTCATTTTCTTTCACAATCACTATTCAAAAATAACTTTCAATTTTAAATTTTAAAGTTAAGGCTACTCCATAATACAAAATCACAACATGCTTACAATGTCAGATTGGCACATTTTGTTTACTTTTCTACAAAATTATGTAGAAGTTAGTAGTTAGTGCTTGCAGTACAATCTGTGTTTCCTGTCTAAAAAAATCCTCTGAATTCTGGCACCACGTAAAGTAACTCATGCTGTAATTAAAATTACTTACAGACTACTTGAATTCACTTACAGTATATTCTTTTCTTTGTTTTGTGTAAAATCCTGACTTGTCATTCCTTATTTTAATGTACCTACCTTTACGTATTTTTAAGTAAATATAATGACACTGTAATTTCAAAGAAATACAATGAAATGCCATTTATTTACAGGGGAATTAGTAAAGAGCCATATTATAATCTGTTACCTTAGCAATTAATTAAGATGAAGAATAAAGTGCTATAGGTGGTAAACATTCAACTAAGATTGGCTACAACCTACTGCTGTAAGGCTTGTGTCTCATCCCCAGCTGAAAACAGTTTCTAACAAATACACAATTTAATTTGGAATTAGAGGTAAAAGATTCCGACCCTTTGCCTGAATTCAGGGGGAACAAATGGCAGTGAAAGCGAAGCCATTTTCATACGTTTTGTCGTTGTCACAAGTCTGAAGCAAACCATCTCCTGTTGTGTTTTCACGTGTCGCACACAACAGAAGATTGCGTCAAAGTTGTTCTCACCAGTATAAATACTCAATTGATTTAGGCGGGGGTGCTGCCTGAATACAGAGTACTGGGTGCAGGAGACGCAATGCCCTATTGTTTGTTGTGAATCCATTAAACAGTTATCTGTGCTATTCCCCGTGAGGTAAAGACCATTTAATGTCTGACACCAGCTAATTGGATATTGCCTGTTAATGCGTGTCAGTCATAGGATTTAATGTATGTACTGTATGTATAAAAGAACCTTAGCATAATGACAGATCGACACAATTCTTGAGGCACATTGCACTTAGGCGCTTGAAGGGATTTCTTTGCACTTTGCATGCAGATCCGGTGCCTACCTGTTCAAATATGAAACATGAAGCTCACAGGACTGTTTGCAGATTCTTGTAATTGATTCACTTTGTGTTGTTTAGGAACCTCGAGCAAATTCTGTTTGAGGGTCAATATTCAGATAATTAACACATTTATTAGGACCAGAAAACAAACAAAAAGTAGCACATATATCATACAGTGGTAGTACCACTAACTGTGCTCTCTTTTCATGTAGCTGCTAGCGTTTTTGACAGTGAACTGAGATTGATCACAGCCACACATGGCAATGGTAAAGGTAATACTCTGCTGTCTGCAGCCCTGAGCACTGGGTCCCTGAAAGATTAATGTTCTGGAAAGCTAGAGAAACCCAGCAATGAGTCAAGCAATATCTTTCTCCGCTGTCTCTGCTCCCAAAATGACCTAAAAATTCGTATCATTTCATCACTCCATACCTTTTGCTTTAGATCAATAAAGTAGAGTCATGCACACTTTTGTTAATATTCTGCTTATAGATCAGTTCTGGACTGGTACCCTGTTGTCGCAAATCTTAATGTATTTCATTGATTTTTCAACTTAGAACTATTGACCTGGCTAAAGTCTACACGTCCCAGAGTGTCTGTCAAATGATACAGAGTAGGTAAGAGACTACCGGTAAAAGCCCAGTGGGCTACAGGGTTACTGGTTGTTCTGTGATGGATGAGTGGAGCAGTGTGTTTATTAATAAGTTATATTGGCGGTCTTGGAGGAACCAAAGGTGGATTTTACTGTGGTCAATAAGCTTGAAAATATATTCTCTCTAGAGAAGGTGAAATGATTTTAACATTTCCTTCTGTACAGAGGTCCTTTTTCTACTTAGTAATCATACAGCCACCATTACCTCCTTTGTTCTTCAAGTTTTAAAATGTGGCTGACTTTTGTTTTAAAGTACCTCTCTGCAGAAATGATTAAGCACTGATAGTTCGGATAGCATTGCTGACTGGTGTTGGCCTATTACAGATGCACTGTATGGACACAAGTATTGGGTCACGCTGCTTAATCTTTGAACTTGGGTGGAATTTTGTGTTTGTTTTGTTGCCAACTTTGTTGCCACAGGGGTATAAAACCAAGAAAGAATGGGTGGTTCTGAAGAGCTCACTGAATTTGAGCGTGGTACTGTAATAGGATGCCAGCATTGCAACAAGTCAATTTGTTCCCTCCCAGATATTCCACAATCAGCTTCCACAATCTTCCACTCCCCCATGAAGTGGCAGACCATGGTTGCCAAGTGCTGAGGCACATAGTTTGGCACTCCAAACCTCCTTTGGCATTAACATCAGCACAAAAACTGTGTGCTTGGAGGTTGGGGAGGCACCGGTTTCCAAGGCCAAGCAGCTGCATGCAAGCACTATATCACTAAGTGCAAATCCAAGTATCGGATGAAGTGAGTAAATCACTGGGTTCTGGAAGAAACTTGTTCTGTGGATGGGCGAATCATGGTTTTCTATCTGGCAATCTGAAGCATGAGTGCATTGCATTATGCCAACTGTAGAGTTTGATGGAGGAGGGATGAACTACAACAGAGTCTGTGAGCCAGGCCCTTTTGTCCAACAGCACTCTGTGACCTTCACAAAAGGTCTTCTGGATGAATGGGCAAAATTCCCACAGGCACACTTAAAAATCTTGTAAAAAGACTTCCCAGAAGAGTGGAACCTGTTACAGCTGCAAAGGAGGGACCAACTCCATGGCTTTAGAATGGGATGTCAGAAAATCTCCCGTGGGTGTAGTCAAATAGGTAGCCTAAAACCTTTGTGTATACAGCACATATTGGTATTTCATTGATGTATATGTTATGATATACTATAGCAAATTAGGCTCGAACAACCCAAAATAGCTTGTTGTCCAAACAGGGCTTAAGGTTGTAGTATAGCTCAAACTGTTCCAGGGTGTTTAAGCGTTATGTGCTAACTCTGTTGTCACACCTAATGAACAGCATATGTTTCTTTTCCTTTTCTATTTTCCTAAAAAATAAGTTAAATATATTACACAGCATTAGTGTGTTATTTGATTTTCTTCTGAAGTAATAATGGTACGTTTGCAGGTACTCTATTTCTGGTTGAAATTCTCAGTATTTCTAAATGGGGACTTTAAATTGGAGGCCAATGTGTTTCTGTCACTGGTCTGCTTATAATGTGCCTTAGAGTATCTTCACCCTGACAAAAAAACCCTCCCTGACCATTTTTAAAAAATGTAAACACTTTGCTATTTGAAAAAACGGAGAAGGAGAAATTTTCATTTAAAGAAACACGCAACACATTTGTGCCAAGTAAGGAGACACAGTTTAACAATTACCAGTGTGTTCTGTATTTAATTATATTAAATGGATCAAATTACAAAGTGACTGGGTTGGCTCCTAGAGAATTGTTGTTGGGGTGTACACCCTCTCTGCAGCTTTACAGAGCTTCATAGTGTTTTTTAAACACTGTTGAGCTGTCTAGCCCCAGTGCATTGCTTTAGCTGTTAGCCGGGGCCCTGTTTTCTACAAAAAAAGAACAAAAAACAGCTGTGATGACTCACTGTAAGCAACCTGCCCTAAGGACAGATGCAGTTAGCAGATAGCTGGTGAACATCTGGTCGCTAAAGAGTCACATATTCCTCTCAGCAAATGTTTGTGTTTGTGTGTTTATGTGGGTGCGTGTGACCTTAGTGGACATGTGGTCAGTCGGCTGCATCTTTGGAGAGTTGATAAGAGGGACAGTGCTGTTCCCTGGGACGGACCGTATCCTTCCTCCCTCTGTTAGAAATGTAAACCTGAAGGCAGCAGGAACCCTGCAGCGTTTTTTCGAGGGCAGTTGCGAATGACTCTGAGTCTATCGAGTGTCATGCGTTTTGGCACTGACATGCTGAGAAAAAACAAAAAAAATCACCTCGAGGTGTCAGAGCGAATCCAACTGCTTGCTGAAGAGCCGTGGATAAGAGTCTTAGTGGATTAAAAAACCCCGCCTTACTAGGCACTGGGTGGATCATGGCCAGTGTGCAATAGAGACAAAACGGAGATGGAAGCGTGAGACGTTCCAGCAAAATGAAGTAATAGGGATCTATAGTGGCCTCTGGCAGCTCTCTGCCCTAACTGGCACTCGGTGTGAGAACATTAGGAGGGGAAGGTTTGGAGTGTGTCGAAGGCTAAGAGAGGAAATATTTGTTGTAAGGAAGGAAGTGAAAGAGAAGCTGATACAACTATACTGGACACACGGCTACATTTATACCGTACACGTGTCTTTTAATCCAATCAGTCATGTTTTCATCAAAAGGTTTATTTACTTATTTTTTTTTTTTAGAAACACTTAACAATGGCTGGAGACAAAGAAAAACAAAAAGAATAAAAGGATTTTTTTTTAATAGAAATCTTGTGTTTTTCACCATTTAGAAGTCAGCTGGGGTTTTTTCCCTAATCCTAATGAATACTTCTTTTGGTGGTTAAGTGGGAAACAGCTGATTTGAGATGAAAAATTATTAATTTATCTTGGTCACAGCACTTTGTAGCACTCCTTTTTTTATGCTTTTAAATGGAAAATGAAGCCAGAATTGTATTGTAGTGTGATACCTGAGGGTACACTGAGCTTTGCAGGGTGACAGGATGCTCTGTATTCCATGTGTGTTTCCCTTAATCTTGGCCTTCCACACCAGATATTGATCAGTGGAACAAAGTGATCGAGCAGCTGGGCACGCCCTCGCCAGAATTCATGAAGAAACTTCAACCCACAGTGAGGAACTATGTCGAGAACCGGCCAAAGTACGCAGGCCTCACCTTCCCCAAACTCTTCCCCGACTGCCTTTTCCCTGCTGACTCTGAGCACAACAAACTCAAAGGTGAGAACCTGTAATTATACACAGGGAACCTGTGAACTTAGGCTATTGCACTTTAGCCATTTCATTAGCTTCCAGTATGAGTCTTTGAAGGTCTTTTATTGAACCTTTGCACAAATATGATGTCTGTTGATTAAACAGAGAGTCTTCTTTAGGACATCATAGCACTTATCACTCTGACAGGCAGTCATTCTGCATGTATTTTTAATTTGTGTAATATACTAGGATATTAATAATTAGAGCTATTTGTATGTATTTTGCTTTATTTTGTATCTTTGTAGTATATTGTCTTATTTAATATAGCTGTTTTGGAGCAACTGCGACTATATAATTTTCTCAGGGATTAATAAAGTATTTCTGAATCTAAATCTGACATTACAGGTGACTTTGCTTCTGACTTTCCATTTAGTTCATTAGGTTTATATCTTTGTTTATAACTTCCACAATTTATGATATTTAAATGTTATTTGCATGTTAACTCTGTAAATATGCTATTCTTATTCTCAGCATCTTAGCTGCTCTGTGAGTACATATCACCTAGCAGCTAAGACAGCATACATTTTGTTCATTTCATGTATGCTGTAGTATGTCAAAAACTAAGTATAGCCTGCTTCTATAGAATATGAGAGGGTAAGTAGTAGCCAGGTGCTGCAAATTAAATGTACTTGATTAATTTGTCATCAGCAAGTGTGAGAACCCCTATAGAAACCGAAGATTTTAACAGTTTGTTGATCTTGCTGGGACTGGGCATCTCAGCAAATTAACCCCAATGTTAAACAGTGACCATGAACTGTGTACTGTGTATTTTAGAATCACACACAAGGCCATCTGTCTGACAGCTAAAGCTTTGGGTGATGCAACAGACAACAATCCCAAGCACAGCAGCAAATCTACACTCTATGCCCCAAAAGTCTCAAATTCAATTCAATTAAGTTATTGCTGCTAAAGGTGGATGCACAAGCTACTGAATCGTCAGGTGTATTTAGTTTTTTAACAGGACTGTACTTTTACATTTTATCTTTGGTCATCCTCCGAGCATCAGTAAACTGCAGTATGTTAATCCTGTACCGTGTGAGCCGATTTCAATCGACTTCTTATGCAGAGTGTTAACTGAGATGTTGTTTCTTCTGTCTCAGCTGAGAATTGAAGGCATCAAAAACATTTCCAGTGAGCTATAAAAAAAAGATGCTTTTAAAAAAACATTTTGCTCTCCCGCTCCCACATCAAAGCTCTCGAATGTTGAAATTCTAATGAATCGCTTTTGTATTCAAGCTGCTCCCCGCTGGAGTGACACTGTTAAAGGAATACACCGAAAGAGACAGACAGAGTGAGAGGGTGTGAGACCAAGATGAAGTGTTTTGTGTGTTTTGTTTTGTGACAGGTAGGAAGTGAGTCAGACATGAGAGAAACATCCTTTGGGTTTTATTTATTTTAAACCTTAGGGGGAAGACAAGTCACAGTACTGTAGGACAGAGGGAATGAAAGAGAGGTAGGTAAAGAATAAGGAAAGGTGAAAGGAGAGAGATAGAGGAGCTATTTTTTCACGTTTATCATCTTTTTGATGCTGTGGTGATGCTCAAAGGGTACGCCCAGCTCATCTGTCTGTACTTGCTTCAGCTTCTTCGTTCCTCTGCTCCTGGAGATTTATTTATAGTGAAGGTCAAGTATGTAGGAGAGGAAGTGTCGTGTGGTTTAAGGGTTTCAATTTCAGATCAGTTCAAAATGGCCAGAGGGTAGAGAGTCTGTGTACTGGTAATGCTTATTGAAATTTTTGCTGATAGATGTCCAATTTACTGCAAACTGCAAACGAACAAGTTGACTGGCAACATCTGCAACAAACAGGCTTAATGCTTCATTAAAAAATACATATGGGACAAACTGAGGAGATATCTGGATGGTTGATTATTAAAGAATTATCTAGCAATAATTCAGATTTCAACTAGTCTGTAGATTAAATACTTAAAACCCAATAAGCCCTATGCACATTCAGAGTGAATTACAATAATCAAGATACAAGAAAAACTATAGCATGCAATAAAAGTTTGAGATTATTGGCCGACTGTATAGCAGATGGTCTGATACTGCTGTTTTAGAGGACTAGTTTGACATATGTCCTCCTTAGAGAAGCTGTCAGGGCCAAACATGAGAACCTCAGTTTTGTCACTATTGAGCTGGAGGAAATTTGGTTAAGGAAAACAAAAGAAATAAACTGGAAAATAAACAAAAATAAGAAATAAACAGACCTTTCTATTCTCAGGTTGTGAGATTACTGTACTCATCCTCCAGAGGTCACCATTAATGCATCTTTGACTATTAAAGACTATTATTATTATTATTAGTAGTAGTAGTATTAATATCATTATTATTATTATTGTTATTACAATGCTAATTCATTGAATCTTGGATCTTTATTTAATTTTTTGACCATTGATTACCTCTAATAACCACACTGCATGCTTGTATATATTTTAGATGTTACACATATCACAAGCTCCTGTTAATTATTCTCTTTAATCCCTGATATTTCCCGGTCTCTCTCTCTCCTCCCTCTTCCATTACCTGTGCTGTTTGACATGTAATATTTTCTTGTTTCATCAAAACATCTAAATATCGTTTTTTTTTTTTCTTTTTAAATGTTTTTTTCAAACTGCAGCAAGCCAGGCTAGAGACTTGCTGTCTAAGATGCTGATTATCGACCCTGCTAAGCGGATGTCAGTGGATGAGGCCTTACAGCACCCCTACATCAACGTGTGGTATGATCCGGCTGAGGTGGAGGCGGTGAGTAGGACTTCAGCAGAGCTGCGTATCGATTACCATCCCAAGCTAAATCCTCCTCACCCGCCCCTCCCATGTTTTAATTTGTACGCACTGATAGTGATTTATAGCATGACTAAACTGCATTGTTTTAACCGCTTGCTATTTTGACAACTTTTGTTCACATCTAATTTGCATTTTTTCCCCCCTCACTTATATTTTTAGTCTTTAGTGCAGAACCAAACGTTTTTGTAGATTTCTGTAAAATAACCCAAAGTCTTTGCTGGTAAATTTTCATGCTACACTGAAAGATTTATATAGTGGGTTGTTGGGGCTTGTAACATGAGAGGGGTGGTGTTGCTGGTTGATTTGGTGAAATCTGGCGTCTTCATCAGCGCCTCATTAGTATGAGGTGACAGTGAGATTGGGTAAAAAGCCATCTGCAACCCGAAAATTTTTTACAGCAGTACAAGTAATGAGAGCATGACCAGCTGATGAATGTCAGTGCTGCTGTTCTACTACGTGAAATATCCTGTTGCCTAACACACTCACTGTATAGTAGTTTTTCCTCCTTTATAGAAGATTTCATGACTATGGCCTTGTCTTGTCATCTGGTGTCTGATGGTTTTTAAAGATGACTTTGTTGCTTCTGTTGATGTATAACATGGCTGTGAATGGCATTTCAACACGTTTTCTGCTGTTTTCCCCCCCTTCTCTAATGTCACCTCATCCTGATGAAGGCCAGAGATAACATCCAAATATCCATGGTAAATAACAAACTCCCTACATCAAAGAATGCACTGCAATTGGACTTCTTCGACTAAAGAGTGTAAAAGAAAGAAGATTTTTTGGACACATGTGGTTCAGTGCTTCTGCCATATTTGAAGATATTTAAAATCAAGAGAAAAGAGACTGTGTAATGCAAAGAGAGGAGCAGAAAATGCCAATCAAATGAAACATCCAGAATATCTGGATATTGCAGCAATCACAGACTGTATATAAAAGATGGAAGTAACTTCTGGGTCTGAGAAGTGAAGCCAGTGCAGAAATGACCCTACTGTTCTCTTGATCTATGATGTATATGTTTATTTAAAAGAGATAATGCATATAAATTACCACATTAAATTCATCATGTTAATATGCCAGATTTAGCCACATGGGCTGATTTTTATGTGTAGCTCGTGCCAGGTTGAATGAATCAACAAAACAATGATTGTGAGCATAATTAAACAGACACAAAAACATGTAAAATAAAACACCAATATAATATATAATATAAAACTAATATTATTCTTAACTAAAAGTAGCACAGTGCTATTCAGTAAATACTGTACTGACTTTATGGTAACTGTCAGGAGTTTAAAGTCTTTTTAGTACATCAACATGTTATTTTTGTAAATGATGGTTGAAATTAAAGTAAAATAGATGATAAAGTGAGTGCTTTATTGTGCAATAACCTAGTGACTAACTCGTTGGTACTATAAGAGTACACCAGTGTCCTGGTTTATTAGTCATTTTCACTTCATGCTTTTCATTTTGTAAATCAAAATGCAGCAGACTTCAAAACAGATATCCACCAACTAATGGGTCACATCAGGGTGGTTATGTCCATCTTTTGTATACAGACCGTGTGCTGTTTTCAGTGGAGCTCAAAGTAACTGTCACATATAAGCAGTCATTGTCAAACTGCACATGCTTCACTCTGCACATAGACCAAAACTCGTATGTCACAGGAAACCTAATCTATTCATTAAAAAAAAATATTAATAGAATACAAGGTTTTAATATTTACTGTAAGAATTTGTTTTGAAGAGAGCTCCTTAGCTACTTCCACAGCTCCACAGCGTTAACATCTACAAACAGTTGGTTTGTCCTGCTGTGGCCGCTCAGTGCTGACCCATAACAGTCCCCTCAGGGTTACACCAGAGAGGTTCCTTGGTGGTCGTGTCACCCACACTGACAAAGATGGGCAGGATTACGATGTCGGAGTCTGGGGAATGAGTGAATGAGTAGTTAGATGGGCTGACTCGATGCCAGTCAGCGTATTCTTGACCTAGTAGACGAGATGACAAGTCCCGTGAGGGAGGGTGTGGGGGGAGAGCACTGCTGCCAGATGTTTTCTTATCTCACTATCCTGTCAGGTATTTAGTCCTGATTATAAAGAATGACCTATTTTGAGACATTTTTTGTATATAAATGGCAGACAATGAACTTATAATGCATTTTATAGAAGTAATACACTACTGCTTAATTTTTATTTAAATTTAATTCATAATCAACATGTGCCGAACTTTTAGACCCGGCATGCTGTTTGTTTTTTTCCTTCCATTTGCACATTTGAAAGATGCATATTTATAACATGATCTTGTAAGATCTTGAGCTGCTTTCTGTAGGTATTGCACTTGGGAGTAATGCTAGGCCGTTAGCTGAAATGTTACTAAACTGGAATTGTGTTCTCTCTCTCTCTCTCTCCTCTTTAGCCTCCACCTCAGATCTACGACAAGCAGCTGGATGAAAGAGAACACTCCATTGATGAATGGAAAGGTGAGTGCTGCTCATCCGGGCTAAAAATAAAAACTCAACAAAGCACACATATGGTAGAACGATAAAAAGCTGTATATTATATGTGCAGTAATGCACTCGATTGATGTAATTTTTTAGTGTTACCATGCATTCGAATGATCTTGTTTTTTAGTAGTTAATGGTAATATGAACACTGTCTGCATAGATGGGTGCAGGTTGCACATATTTTTGTCACTTAGTGTGTTCTACTACCTTTTTTCGCACCCCTTGCAGAACTTATCTACAAAGAGGTGATGAACTTTGAGGAGAGAACGAAGAATGGCGTTGTGAAGGGACAACCTTCACCTTCAGGTACTCTCAGTGCATAAGCCTAACCGCTCTGTAAGTGAATTTAATATAACCTTACTGGAGTTATCCCTTGTAATTAGAAAAACCCATTGTGCTGTTGACCACATGTCTCTGTCCCTTACATCTCAAGTTAAATGTTGTTCAGTTCAGTGATGTCACTTTGTGTCTGATGATTTGTAAAGATTGCTATTCTGTGATTGCTAAAATTGCTTCATAGTACAGGTTAATTCAAATGCCTTTATGATTGTATGTTTATATGTATTACATTGCTGTGTCTTAAGCTTTGGGTTTTGAGGGGTCTGTCTCAGGAAATGTCAGTCTTAGACTTGGCTATAAATGCCCTCAGAGGACAAAAACTGCTATTCTTATGATGTGCCACAGGATGGCAGTATAGAGTTACTTTGAGCATACTAACCAGCCCAGTCAGCATTTGCCGAGATCCATCTGAAAAAAAAAAAGAAAGCTGCACTGCTTGTTTGAAACCACAACCACACTGCATGAAAACAGTAAGAAGACTGAAAACACAAGGAGAAGAAATTAAACGGAAACAGACGGCTCAGATCAGAGAACACCTTTCTGGGTGTCCTCTTTCGGTTTATTGTACAAAAGCGAGTGGGATTTTCCCTCTTAGAAAACTTATAAATCATCTCTCACCATAAGCCGGGCAACAAATATCCTTAGTGCCAAATATAGTTAAATAACATGGTGCTCGTTTTTGCTCTGTCTCTCTCGGCCCGTCTCTAGAAAATTCACGAGCTTCATCTTTCTTCTTCTTTCTGTCTACTTGTAATTAAGCAGATGGGCCGCTGTATAGCATCTGACGCAGTGCAGGAACTGCAGACGACAGTGTCTCATTGCAGCATGAAGAGAAGACCTGCAATCACACACAGTCAGACCCACTTTGTGTGTTTAGATTATGATATTTTTAATGATGTTAACAGAAGATTTTTCAGCCCAGTGCTGCAGTATTTATTTGCACGACACCGTGCATTATCTCATTATCTCCAAGGAAATGAAGAAATGAGCAACAGTTTAGTGAGTGTGGAAGATATGTGTGTGGGCGTGACGCTGTGATGTGATTCAGACTTTAATCACATATTACTGCTTTTGCCACAGTTTCTGTAAAGGTTAATAATATGAGGTAATGACTTAAACTCCCATCTTATATATCGCCGTGTAACTAGTGTGGATTATTGCACGGTACAGTACTTTATGCTGTGCTCCTCTCACACATGAAGCTTTAACTGTCACTTCTGATTAGTTACCCTATAAAACCGATGCGCGCTATTAATCTTGCTTTATTTAAACAGTTACTCCCAACAGGAAACAGACAAAAACAGCAGACTCACAGCGTGCAAGTCCTCTGCACAAATTACTGCATTTGGTCTGTTTCCTGCATCTGCTTTAAAGTCTTTTTTTAAAGGCTGACAAAGCAGGAACCAACTTCACAGAGGTATAAATTGGTCACTGCGTGCTAATAGACAGAGCATGTACTCACACACACAGTTCCAATTAGGCTTCTGAGGGTGTTGGAAACAATGTCATTTTTTTTATGCATAATATCATTATGTATATTATTTATTAGATCATTAATGTTCAAAAGCAGCAGATTGCTTTTGGGGAAGTACCCCAAGTTTCCTAATATGCATACCTCTGACTTTAAAGCAAGGTGATTATAAGATTATTAATATTAGATTATTAGTCTACCCTGTAACCAGCTATATAAAACAAGGACCTGGCCATCATCTCTTCACCCACCAGGTTTTGGACCATGGGTCTTGAAGTTTCAGCATTACTGTGTCCAGATGAATACTCTAGTTATGGATGGATACCCCACCTCATACCCCTAGAATCTATCCATAGAGGGAAAAATCTCTTTTGTAATGGGCTGTAAATATGCTTTATAACATTGGGCATCTATGGGGACTAACTCACTTTGGGAGCCAGGTTAAAGGAATTGGCACTTTTGTGTTGGCTTTATTTTCAGCTCCAGAGGTTGCCATTTGTTACACACACAGACACACAGACCTGTATGAAGACATAAATCATTTTAAGGTATATAATTAAAAGGAAATCATTAAATAGCAGCTTGTTGGCATATAAATGACAACAACAAGCCACGCTTATGAACTGCTGAAACACTGAAAGCCTTTAATGATATTTCCTGTGGACCCTCCCGGACCCAAAGCTTAATTATCTTTGTCTCATTACAGATGCACTGTGATTGTGATGCCCCACAGATGTTGTAAATGTTGTTGACATCTCTATCTCATGGAACAGCTAATCATGAATCAGCATTTATCTCAGTCTAACCTGTGTGTGCACTTGTATATCTCCTGCGACTGTTTCTCTGCTCGCGTCTTGGCCAGGACTCTTTTACGTTGTAACCCCCCGCTGCTGTTGATTCCCTTAGCACAGGTGCAGCCGTGAACAGCAGCGAGAGCCTCCCTCCCTCCTCCTCAATCAACGACATCTCCTCCATGTCCACCGACCAGACCCTGGCCTCAGACACTGACAGCAGCCTGGAGACCTCTGCAGGACCCTTGGGGTGTTGCAGGTGACTAGCCGCCTGCCTGCGCAACCCCATGTTCTTCCGAAGGTGAAGAACCCAACAAAAACGACCACCGGAAAATACAAAGACAAAAGAAAAAGACAAAAAAAAAAAGAGTAAAGATCAAAATTAATATATTAAGAACAAAAATATGAGATATAGGAATCTGAATTTATGAAATCTAAAGCCTGTGCATTGTCACTGAAAAACAGCAGCGGTATTCAAGTAAATGAGCTCAGATATATGTTAATGATCCTCTAGTTGCTTTGCTTATATTACCCCTCATATTCTTGTATATGGCATCAGATCAAAATGACCAAGCGCTTAGACTTGCATCTCCTGTAAAGTGCATATTGGCTGGCAGCTGGTCTCCCAATTCCTTACAGACAAAAAAAAAAGCAACCAAAAGAAAAGCATTTATGCTCCGATCATTGTGGCAAGGTGGGCTGCCATTTTTGCTCATCACTACTGCTAAATGGGGACTTTCCTCTCTTTCCTCCCCCAGCCCCTCTCCCCTATTCAGCTCTTATTTAATTACACTGCTGTATTTTAAAATCTAGGCTTTGTGTGAGACACCGCCACCTGACCACCCCCCACCCACCCAAAAAAAGGCTTCCTGATGTGTTTTCATGTGGTAACTCTGCAGGGACACGTTCCTGCTGTTACCATGAGTGACCCCTCTCCCCCCCACCGTGGTAATTTGTAAATATTGTAATTCTGTACAGCTGAAGGGCACACAGAGTGGGACTGATGGCCAGTAAACTGGGATTTTTTTCCTTCTATTTTTTCGACTAGCACACCTTGCCACATCACCGCTTTCCACCTCAGTTGCCCCTGCCTATTGCTGTAGTCCTGCATGATTAGATTTAAACAATGCTAATCTCACTGTATGCTAACGAGTCTATATAGAGACTTTTGTTTATATACAATGTAAACTAACTGGGCACAGTAGGACGTGTGAGTGTGTGTGTGTTGGTGGACCACAGGCAAGCCAATAAGACACTGATAAAAGTGGGGGCTGTTTAGGACGTAAAGGGCCAGTACACACAGAAATAAGTTATTCTGATTGTGCTCAGACTTCACGAGACAGCCTTCAAGAAGTCTAATTTGTGTGTAATGTCCCTTTTTATTTCCCCTGGCAGTGTATGATCGGTCCTTTAACCACAGCCCTGCATGTCATTGTTTATCATTAACCCCTCACAGGCACAGGAGTTGGATCGGTTTCACTGTGGAATAACCACAAAGAACCTTTTCCCCTTTTTGTTTGACTCTTTAAAACATAGCAGAAGTGATACAGTGCTGAGTTTTTAAGACAGGTGATGAGTGTTAACCTTGTAGCTATGGCTCGTCTTCTCATCTGCTTTATATCACCGCACACCACACAAAAATGTCGCGACACGAGAAAGCACCCATTAAACGATTTCATAGGCGAAAGATTCTTTAATTTATTGATTTATATATTTTTGATAGATGGAATCTGAACATGGCAAGTGCCTTTTGGAATGAAGCATTGCAGGTGCAGAAATGATATATTTTTGTTTCCCTCTGTTTTTTCTGGTTCTGCCTTAAAACTGTCTGAGCCCCAAAGCTTAACTGTTTTCCTCGGTGTTTCCATTAAAAAAAAACATCCCACAAATTTTTCTTTTTACATTTTAATTTGACCTCTTTGTTTTGTTTTGTTTTTTAAATTTCTCCTACAAATTAGCTATATCTTCTCTAGCTGGGGTGCAACGCTCAAATGTTCACATGCAAAATGCATTTGCACTTTGCAAAGGCTTGGCAGCTGTACTGCTCTAATCTCAAGTCACATCTCACGTTTATCTGTGCAAACTCAGTGTTCTTAAATGAAACAAGAATATAAAACAGTTTTTGGCAGACTGAAATAAACTGAGCTCCACTATGGCAGAGTTTATTTCACCCACTGTGAACCTGCATGGGCAAGTTAGGGTAATTTGGCGTTGTAAGACCTTGGAGCTGGATTTATATGGACAAAACATACATAATTCCCTACTTTAGGCATATTTTGTTTCAAAAGGTGTTTTGCGATGATCCGGTAAATGACAGCAATTAGGTCAGATGAAGAACACGAATGCTCACACTGACTTATGGGAGCCTCCGCATGTATGAAATAGATTCAGTCGCTGCCATGACTTTAAGGAGATGTGGAGACATCGTTGCCACATATTTATTTCAGTGACAGTACAAGTCTGTAACTTTCAGTTCAGCTGCTGCTGCACAATGACTCTTTTTTGGAGTTGTTTTGTGTACAAGCGCTCACAGTCCTCCACGTTATGGAGATAACTTCAAAAAGCTACTTTGTTAACACTCTTACTCCCTGTGGCTTGTGTATAGTGAACCACACACAGACTAACAGACTAACCTTCGCAGAGCTCAGAGGGTAACTGAGGTTGGCGTCTCCAGAATAAGCTATGGCTAGCTTGGCTTTTTGTTCAGGGTCTGGCCAGGGCAATCTTTTAAAACAGGGTGCAACTTTGATGAAATCTTTTGTGTTTAAAAAAATGTTTTGATGAATTTCTCACAAAAGGGGCGCAGAGTCGACCTCTACACCACAAACACACAAGGTACTGTTGCAGTTTTTTCTACAGGGCATTTCTAACCATCCGAACACACTCTTCTTTCTCTATCTTCATACGTTCTGGTCACGGAGAACAAACACTAACATTGCTAATGTGTTTTTTTCCCCCCAGTTTTTCTGAATGTGAACTGTTTGATCTTTTTATAAGACATCCCTCCAGACAATTCTGTTGTGATAAAAGGAGCTTTAGTTCGGGTAAATAAAGAAGGAGATTGAGCTGGATTGTCAGCAGTGAATGTAAAAATGAACGGTTTAACAATCACGCACATCATTGATGCTCTGCTCATCAGTGTGTGTGTGTGTGAGAGAGAGAGAGATTAAATCAACCAGCATTCAACACAAGCTGCGAGTCTGAGTTGAAAGGTGTGATGTGACGTCTGGAGAAATGATTTTGCAACACGTCTTCATTTTTTTTTTAGAATTTTAATACGAGATCATGACTTTTGTGCAATTATTTTGAAGAATGTCAATGGCGAGTAAGCACAGTTGTGTGTTTAGTAGTAGTTCATGTGTGTATTCATGTTCTGTCACTTTGAATTGAATTAGAAAACCACTGTCATTCCAGCTTCTAATTTTTGGGAGGGGGTCTTAAAATGACCTCTTATGGATTCATACACTATGAAAAATGATTACATGTCACACGTTGTACACAGCTGTGCCAACTTAAAAAAAACAATCTTTGGATCTCCAGCTTGGCAATTTTCACCTTTTTCTTTTAACTTCTATTGTAAATAATAACAGTTCAACAATGCAATAAACACTTTATTGCACTCAGACAGGGAGGCAAGCTACTGCAAGGGGTCGGATGCTAAAATGTTTAGAGTCTTAAATGTGGAACTCTACAATGACGAAACCCTGTATAGCTCATCTGAGTCAGGTGATGTTGTTATTCAGTTCTTTTCTGATTCCTTCTCTCTTGTTTCTTTTACTCCGTGCTGTTTTAATGAATCATTCCTTTGACATTGTCAGGTTTAAAACAAAAAAAATTCAAAAAGAAACAAACAAAAAAAAAAGAAATGGTATTGTTTCAGGCTGATCTCGAAGCTTCAGGCTATAGCGTTTCAAGTAAAGTCAAAAACAAATGCAAAAGAAAAAGAAAAACTTACTGAAAGCTGTTACTGTAAACACATTTTAAAGGAACTGTGTATGTAAAAAATATTATGTATTATGTATGTGGTTGAAAATAAACAAAACCTTTGACCTTGGGCGTTCGTGGACCTTTTCTTTTTACCTGGAGACTAATTTAAATGCACTGCAGATTTGTTTCAGGCCTTGCTGTCGATAGGAACCATTTATCCAATCTGTCACTGTGACTCCTACACAGAATCTAATGTGCTTTCAGGCACTTTCAGGTGGATACACAATCTTAAAGCAGAGCCATTAACTAGTTCTCTGACAGAGAAAAATAATGTAGCATGAGAGTGCAGCATGAGAACAAGTGCACTGACCTTTCTCAGAGTATACCAATGAAATGAAACGCACTCGATGGCCACTTTATTAGGTCTACCTGTTTAATAACGCAAATCACTGATCAGCCAGTCAGTGGGGCAGGATGTCAGTGCATTTAGGCATGTAGATATGTTTTACATTACTACCTTAAATTTAAACTATGCATCAGAATGGGGGTGAAGGTTCATTTAAAGTGATTGAAAATGTGGCTTTGTTGTTTGTGCCAAACCACGTTGCAAAACCATTTTTAGAGTTTACAGAGAATGGTGCAAAAAAGAGAAAATATCGAGCGAGTGGCAGTTCCCTGAGCAAAAATGCCTTTTTGATACCAGAGGTCAGAGGAATATAGTCAGACTCCTTAACATGCAGGCAAGTGCAACTAAAGAAAAACATTCATTACAACTAAGGGATGCAGAAGAACATCTCTGAATGCACAACATATTAAACCTTGAAGCAGATGAGCTACACCTGTTGACACACCTGTAAACCTTAAACGGGAAACAGAGGCCAAAATTGAACAAGGGGACACTGGAAAATGTTGCCTCCTCTAATGAATCTTGCTTTTTGCTGCGATATGCAGATCATAGATTCACAATTTAGGATAAGCAACATGAAAGCATAGATGCATCCTGCCTTGTGTTGACGGTTCAGGCTGCTGCTGGTGGTGTAAAAGACCTGAGCGTTGTTTAAACACCACCTGACTATTGTTGCTGACCCTGTCCATTCCTTGGACCAAAGTGCGTGTTTCTTGAAAAAGAGTGCACTGTACAAATGGCCAGATCTCAATCAGAACGAGGAGCCAACAAATATGCAACAACTGTGTGATGTTATCATGTCAACATGGACCAAAATCTCAGAAATGTTTCTAGAAATTATTCGAGGCCACAAAGAATTAAAGCAGTTCTGAAATCAAAAAAAGTAAAAGGTGTGTAGTGAGTGCAGATATAATTTCTAACCTAGCCGTGCCTTTTGTGGTAAGACAGTAGGCAGCATCGCTGGGCATGACTACTTTTGGCAATTTAATTTTTTGCATCAGCTAATACTAATACTGATTTCTCATGTACTTTGTTAGCAGCAGAAGAGATCAGACACTTGAGATTAGCAGCACAGGAGGCCTCAAGGATGTGGTTTTTTTTATTTTAGTAATAAGTCTTATAAATCTTTACAATTCTAGTTTTTTAAAAGTGAATATTTTCCACTTTTCTCCAAGTTAAATGACTCAAAATAGTTTTTCCCTCTAAACAAAAATAACAAATAAAAACAGCCCTGACTGTCCGCCCACTAATTGTGTTAACGTGAGGCCAATCAGATGTTCTGCCTCGTCTTCAAACATTAGTCAGACATTTGAAAAGGAAAAATTTCAACAGAGACTTGCATTAAAATCCATCTTTATTCATATTAAGTCATTTTTAAAGTTCCTTTGTGTATCAAGTATTGTCATGAAAACATTCCACTATCCCCGTCCACTCCGTCTGGCCCTCCATCCATAATCCGCCCTTTTGTGTGGAATTCACAGAACGAGGTGACACTGTCAGCTTGGCTTAAGCCCATTATTTCCCAGTGAAGGCTGTGAAATGAGAAGCGCAGGCTCCCCTCTCCCTCCTTCACTTGTTCAGGCACTTTTTTCTTCTTCTTTTTGACTCCATATGCACATTCCAGATGTCCTGCAATGACCAGCAGCAGGTTTAAAAAGAAGCCGAGCAGCAGGTCCGTGCACACGTGTACGCACCAACTCCTCTCTGACGCAGGTCCATTCCTGGTCTGATCTATCAGAGGTGTCCCGTTTTGTAATCATTCGCAAATCCACATCATGTGCAGACATTTGGTTTCGGGCTACATAAATACACTTCATCCATATACAGTCACTTTACAAACATTCAGTTAGTGTATGCCGACCCTCGTAGACTCATGCAACCATCATGCACATACCACTTATTACTGAATTTTGCTGCCAGGCTGATAATGTCATCAAATTAGAGGCTTTAAAATCCCAATTATTTCACAGTTATGACCCACAAACGTGTGCTGGCCTCGAAAATCAGCAAACTGTATCTTTAAAAGCGGCATGCCATACAGTTTCTTATCTGAAATTCTGAATTCAAGACTTAAAAGATTTATGCCAATAACCCACTGTGCAACACCTTGAACTGTACTCTAACAAACTACAAATCATTCTTCAGTATCAACTCAATTCATGCCATATCCATCTGAATATCAGTAAACCACAATGCAAACTATCTAATCTAGTCACGTCTGCATTTATCTATACAATATTTACAGTACAGGCTCTTTTTCTTTTGGTCATGGGTAAATATAACAGCACAGAAGCACAGGCACACGCATCGACACATAGACCGACAGAACATCCAGTACCAACTTGCAGAGACTAAACAAACATTTAAGTGCAAAAGAAAAAGAAAAAAAAAAACTGATAGAAAATAGCACACTTTTATAGCTTTGCTTAAATATCACAAAAACAATGAAGTGTCAGTTTTACTTCTCTTTACAACATATGACATCTTTGACATGAGCAGATGCAGAAATATATTGAACACTAAGGTGTGTTTTGGTTAGATGGTAAAAATGAATAAAAAGGAGGAGTTCGGTGTGGTCTTTTCTGCATTTTCAGGTCCAAGGTTGGTGTTGGTATTGTTCTTTTTTTTTTTTTTTAACATTTTGTCTTCCCTTCTATCTCGGAGCTAACATAAAATGGTAGTACCATATGTCCTCATAGGCTGTTGTGTACTGTCCCTTTGCTCCATTTCCCAGCCAGACAACTGAACAAACCCCAACCACTTCTGGGAGACTGGAGTGTGTCCATGAGCGTCTGTTTAAATAAGGCTATATACAGATAATGTCACTCTGGCATCACTCCAGGTGATGTTTACATTTATAGAGGCGGCTTACATCAGCCCTATATCTCCTATTTCTTAAATTAAAACGTGCCGTTACCCTTTGCAGTGTGTTTTCCCTCCTTCGATCAGCAGCCAAATCTTGTTTAGAGTCTCTCTAAAGTTCACGTCATTATAATAACCCAGTTCCTGTCTTGGCTGCCATCTTTTTTCAGCCTTCCTTCACTGTATCCAGATGGTGTTGTTTCGCTCTGGTCGGCGGGGATCGGTGGCTGCGGCGTTGCCAGTTGCGGTGAGGTCACTAAATGTGGAGAAAAACTGTTCCATCTCTTTCTGTAGCATCTGGTTTCGCCGCTCGGCGTCATCCTTGGCGCGCTCAGCGTTGCGCAGCTTGATCTCCGCCATGGTGTACTTCTTCCTCTCCTGGTCCAGCTCCTCGTGCAGGTTCACCATTTCAGTCTCCAGCTCCAAATTACGCTGCTCCAAACTGCAAATGAGGCATACACGGGATTAGGAAAAGATTAGCAGTGCCGTAGTGAACAGAGGATTTGCTTATCTCAGAGCACAAGGGCAGCTGCACATCTTTTTAATTTTCTTAATGACCTAATGAATTACATGCAACCACAATCTCTGGGGCTGTGGAAGTCTAGAGGCCCAAAAAAAAAAAAAAAAAAAAAAAAAAAAAAAAAGGCCAATGGCAAACTGATACAGCTCCATAGTTTTCCATGTTAATATAGCCAACTTTAAGATGAACTATAGCTCAAAGAAAAAACCCCAAAACAATTCTTTGGCAAATTTCCTCTTTCTTGACAGCTGTATGGGGGCATTTTTCTCAAACTTGATGTTCAAACAGTCTGAAAGCTTAAATAAGTTACGGATTATTCAGGAAAGGGCTATTTATGAGTGACTTCTAGGTACCTTTTCGTCCTGTTCAGTGTTCAGGTTAGATTGGAGATATCAAACTGTTGCCTATGTGAAGTGCCACCAGTGAAACTCTTCTTTTTGTCAGTATAAACAACTACACATTTAATGCCTGCTACATTGTTACATAAAAAAGAGGTGTAGTTTCAACCATATGTCTCAGTTTTGTTTTTCATTTGCTGCAAATGAAAAACATCTGTCAGCTTGACTCGTAAGTAGAAAGAAATAATTGTATAAAACTACTACTTTTTTCTTTTATTACTTTGGTACAGGATGAATGTAGCAAAAGCTGTAAAACTTAACAAAACACAATTTATGCCCACTTTGACATTTTCCAAAACCATGCAGTGGGCTGAATTGGAGTCACTTGTCCCCCACTGGACCCCGAGCCTCATGCTTGACAACTTTACAAGCTTGTAGCTAAAGGAACAGAGTGAAAAAGACAGCTTCTGATTGGCTATTTGATCCTCACTGGAGAGTTTGCCCGTTTTGTTGCTTTCCCATAATACGACAAAGCCATGTGGTTGCCAAAGACTAAGGCAGCTGTTCAGACTTGTGTACACTCCTGCTCATTAATGGGAATGCCCATTAATAAGATTTTGATTGGTGGTTTCAGTTTTATTTCATCTGCAGCCATCAGCTTAGATGATCTGCCAAAAGGCCACTGTGACCTTTGGATAGTAATGAGCCAACAAAGGGCAGCTGGTGAAGCTGGCAGGAGGTTACAAGGGCTAATGAGATAATGATGGAATCAGGTGAGGGGCATAAAAAAAGAAAAGATGTGGGCAGACAGAGGAGGGTGCAGTCACAGAGGAGGGTGCAGGGTGCAGTCACAGAGGAGGGTGCAGTCACAGAGGAGGGTGCAGTCACAGAGGAGGGTGCAGTCACTGCCAGTGAACTTGAACTCTGCGTTTTAATGAAGTGGTGAGATGTTGATTTATAGAGTGGATCCTGATGCTCTAGAAAGGTTTATTCACTGTCTTCTTGTGAAATGGAGGGAATGGTGGACGTAGTAAAAAAGGAAAGAAGACACAGAGCTGGGTGGAGGATGTTGTGTTTTATCACTCATGTACCGGTATGTTTCTGTCAACCTGACTAACGCATGAAGCCTGCTGCACTAAAAGAAAACAGTGGTCTCTTAGAGCCACCCATGCAAAACAAGATTTTAAAGCAGGTTTATAGTTGGGACACATTTTTTTCCTGTTCACTGCTGGCATAATACAGAACAAAGTAAGGCTTTGAAGAGCTGTAGCATCTGACTAACGTGTGCCAGCTTTTCATATCCACAGGAAGGAAAAATTCAAAATAGGGACTTGGTTTTTTTAAGTGCTAGATTAAGAGAGGTAGCCTGCTGCACCTAACCTCATTTTAAGATTTGAAATTTCCTTTTTTCTCTTTTGATGCGACTGATCTCTACTGGTCTAAACCTTTGAAGATGACAGTATGGTACACAAGAAAACCTCACTGGTGTACATGCCTGATCACCTGAGAAAAAGGATGGATAGTTTGCAAAAAAGGCCAAAGTAAAGATTAAGCGCTTGTATTGATTCAAGCCCTTCACACATGGAGCCGTACCTTTTTATCCTGGCCTCATACTCGGCCTTCTGCTTGTGCATTTCCTGCTTAAGACTGGCCACTAGACTGTGCAGAGCGCTGTGGTTGCCGGGTCCGTTACCAACAGGAAAACCGTCGCTGTTATCACTGCTGCTCGTGCCCCGACTGCTCCTCCCAACCTCTCCACTTCCTTCTCTGTCGCCATTTCTGCCCTCTCCTCCTTCGCCAGACTGGGGATGCACGCAGTCTTGTGCTGGTCCATCCAAGTCTTCGTAGTGCCCTCCATAGAAGTCCTGCTCTGGGCAGGTGGTTGTGGAGGAGCGACAGGAAGTGGAGTTGTCAGGGAGGGAGATTTCACAGGAAGAAGTGGACCAGGTGGCACTGTCCACACTCTGCTTGTCCTCGCAGCTGGTGTTCAGACACGTGTTGGTGATCTGGTTCTGCTGCTGCAGGTTGTGATGGTTTAGCTGCACGTTATCGTATGTGGACAGACGATTCTGATTGGTTGTCTGATCTCCGCCGTGGCAGTCACGAGCTTTGCTGTTCTCCCGTAACATTACACAGCCATTCGGCTGCCAGAGGCTGTTGCGGCTGTTCGGACTCCCTGTGACAGCGTCAGTCCCATGAACGCCCATGCGTACAACTCCAGTCCCATTCCCTGTAGCGCTGTTTCCACTCGTGACGCCGCTGGTGCCCATTTTTGTCCCCGAGCCTTTGAGTGTGCCACTGCGACGCACCGGTAAGCTGCCACCTCCACTCTGGCTCTTTTCCACAGTGGGATCTGAAGAGGGTGAGGAGCTGAAGGACCCATTGGTAACAATGCCACTGCCTTTACTAAAAGCTGGATTCTTTTTAACGGTCAGCGGTGGACTGCGGGTGACGTCGAAGCGTCCCATGACTCCATTGCGGGGACTTGCCGATCGTGGGGAGCCACTGTTGTCTGCGTGCTGACGGTGTGAAGGAGACTCGTTGGCTTCCCAAACACACTGCCGCACAACATGTGTGTTGTTGTTCTCAGCATTCTGAGACACTGTAGTGATGGCTGAGGTAGATGTAGTGGTTTGTCGCCGTGGCTGTTCAATATTGTTGTTGACGAGCTCAAGGGCAGTAGGGCTGTCTTCATCTCGGGGGAAAAGCACGTCGTGGTGACCAATCAAAACAGCCATGAGCTGCTGGACCAGAACAGTACCTAAAAAGAAACCGAACATCATCATCATCTTTCCTTTAAAACCAACATTCATCTTATTTAAGATTTAAAACTAAATATTAAGAAAGTAAGACACGTATACTTGACATTCTTCAACACTCACCTTCCATAATTGCTACTGGATCCTCAATTTTTGGCCTCAAGATATTTGGCCCAAAGACTGTGGCCAAGTTTTGGACACTCATTTTATTCACCCCTGAATATGACTGGACTTCATCAAGAAACCTAGGGAAATGGAAAATATCAGCTTCTCATGGTTCAACAATGTAAAACTGTATCCAAAGTTAATTATCAGTACCTGCAGATGTATTTTAGGAGGTTGTAGTTCACTGGAGGTAGACTTTCCACGAGCCTTCTCAATTCCTTCATACCCTGCAGATAATAAACAGTTTTAAAGTAACAGTAACTCAGCAAAATAATCATTCATAGAAACTTTTGCAACAGATTGTCTGTAAAGCCCGTGATTGATCACAGTGTGTATAATGAAACAATCACACCCAGGATCCAGTGGGAAATGAATCAGTGGAAAAGAGGGGGGTTTATGTAAATATATGCTCACTGGTCACTTCATTAGGTACACTTATTTAACAAACATCTGAACAATCAATTCTGTGGGAAGAAACTCGAAGCATTCAGGTGTTTAGATACTGTCAAGACTGTTTTGAGCTGACGGGAAAGCAACGGTAACTCAAATGACAACTTTTTACAAACAAGGAATGCAGACGAGCATCTCTGAATGCACAGTACAGTGAACGCTGAAGCAGATGGGCAACAGCAGCAGAAGTCACTGTGTGCCCCTCCTTAACTGAGAAAAGGAAACTGGGGCTACAATTTGCATGAACTCGCCAAAATTAAACAATAAGATATTGGAAAAATCTTGCCTAGTCTGCTGAATCTTGTTTTCTGCAGCAACTCTCACATGAAAAGGTCTGAATTTGGCAGGATGAAAGCATGGATCCATGCTGCCTTGTATCAGCTGTTCATGTTGCTGCTGGTAGTTTAATGGCATAGGGAATATTTTCTTGACACATTTTGTATCACCCTTAGAAAAACCCAAGTATTCCAGCTTTATATTTAATGAAAATCCTTTTTGCTCTCGATACAAAACTGTGACTAGAAAAAGCAAACCAGATATAAGAGGATTTATCATTATACCCATTTATAAACTATCTATATGGGTGTGCCACTGAATCAGAAGTAGTCTCAGTTAGGTTACTGAGAATAAAGGATATGTGGAAACGCTCTGAGGCCTTTTCACATAAAAAAAATAAATAAATAATAGTGAACTCTTTTCCATCCATCTCCTTTCAACTTCAAAGTCCCAGGAGGGTTAAAAAGTGAGGAAACTCATCCACACTTTACCATATGTCTTCTCATACCCATCTGTAGCACACACACACACACACACACACACACACACACACACACACACACACACACACACACACACACACACACACACACACACACAAAAACAAACAAAACACAAACACACACACGAATGCTGAAGAGGGGAAAGACACTGAGGGAGCAAAAGGCTAACCCCAGCCATGCTGCCGACCGTGCCTCATGGTGTGAGCGAAATCCTATTTAGATGTTAAAAGTCAAAACGGACTCAACAAAGTCATTGTGTGTGAAACACAGGGCTGAGCGTGGATGACTGGGCGGCAAAAGAGCAGATTAAAAGCCAAAGAATAAGACTTCTGTGAGGGCTTTTCAGTACCAATGTTTATTGTTATAAAGGTTGAAACTTAAAAAAAAAAAAATCCGTATGTGTGCGAAAGCTAATTTGCCAGTAGATGTGGTTACAAAGAAAGCAATCATAGCATGTTTCTTACCATTTCATCATCTTTGCCCAGGAGCTTGGCGCAGGACAGGAACTCATCGTACTTCTGGAAGGGGATGACGGGCTCGGGCAGCTCTCTGAGATACAGTTTCAGCAGAGAAGCTACTGTGTGCACATCTGTGTTACTGTTGAGAGAGACAAGACACTGGTAAAAAGTTAGGGCCATCATTTATCCTGAACCGCATGGAGACAAACAGCAATCACCATGAGGCCAACTCCAACTTTAGGTTTCACACTGTTGGAGAAAAATGTCAAGCTGTAATAGTGTAGCTGTAGTGTATGCATACAACTGACATTACTGACCAACTACTGACTGCTAATGCAGGTGGTACCATCATTTTCCAGTTTTTATTTTCTCTGTTTCCAATCGGCACTTTCTGATTTATTTAATACGCCAGCACCAGCCTAAACGTCTGCCAAGAGGCCACTGCAGCCTCTGGAGCAGCTGGCGAGGCAGGCAGGAGGTTGCAAGGCAGGAGGTCACTAATGAGGGAATTCGCAAGATGAGGGACATCAAAATCAGACACAGGCAGGTACACGGGAGGCTGTAGTTTCTACCACAGCAAAGCACAAACAGGAGGGCAGAAATGTGTTACTGTGCAGAGGACGTGATGGACGCACTCGTCAGTGTGAATTTGAATTTCGGGAAGTGGTGAGATGTTGATTTATAGAGTCGATCCTGACAGTTTCATCCAGGTTTTATTTAGGTTATTGGTTGGAGTGGCACAATGCTGTGAAAAAAGCGATCCATAGCTCGGCTCGGTACGTTTCATTACTCAAGTATGCTCTAGATGAAGGCTGCTGCATTAAACAATCAGTGCTTAGTCTCCTACAGCCACCTACACACAGCATAATATAACAGCAGGTGTATAATTGGGAAGTATGATTGTTCCTTTTTACTGTTGGCAAAATACTGAACAAAGAGATGCCTCGGAAAGTTTGTGTGGCTGGCTACCACGTCCCTGCCAAAGGAAAGAAAAGCACGAAATAAGGGTTTTTTTTCCTCCCAGTCCATTAATCCAGGACATCACTGAGCTGAATTTACCGTGAAGAGTGTGATTCTCACAGTTTACTGATCTTTATTGGTCTGAAATAATTACCTGTGGAGATAACGGATATAAATGAGAGCTTGGCTGCCTTACAAGGCTTATCAAGTGGATAAGTAGTTAAGAAAATGGATGGACGGGCTTCAAGTGCTTTTGAAAAAGACCAGAGCAAACCAGTGATGGGAATAACGGTGTTACAAGTAACAATGTGATATATACCAGTTTTTAAATTGTGCTAATAGGCCACGTAAAACCAGAGTCATGATAAACAATATATGCGGTGTTTCTAAGGACAGAGCAGCAAGCACTCTCTGCTTGCGACCAATCAAAAAATGATATGGCAACATGACATTTGGTTGTTTAGAAAGAGGAGGAAGTTTTAGGAGTGATGGCGAGAGAGAGAGCGAGAGAGAAAGACAGAGAGAGAGAGAGTTTTGAGATGTGAGAGATTTGTGACGTTTAGCGTGTTTGGAGTGTGTAGTTAATGTTTTGTCTTGTGTAGTTAGTGTGTAGTGTTGTGGATAGTTTTGTGTTGTGTGTCAGAACAATGAGGCGACTGATGTCTCCAGGTAAAAAACAGGAGGATTGATACACCTGCTGCTGTCAGACCTGCAGGTATCAGGCTGTGATGTTCTCCTTTATAGTGGACACAAATAATTGTTTTGGAGTGGCACAAATATTGTGTGCGGCATCTTATTGATGCAGAACAGCTGATTGTTCTGTAAATAGTTTGAAATGGTTATTTAAAAAAGGGTAAAAGGTAAATGACTGCAAATAACTTTGTTGTTTGCAAAACTTGTGCATAGATTTTAAAATTGACAATTTATATTTGCATTTAAAGTTATGAAATATGATTCATTAAACATGTTTGTGGTTGTTACAGTAAAAACTTTTTCTACTGGATTTTATGTTTTTTGTCTGATTTTAGATCAATTGTGTTAATACAGTATGTCAAAATGAAAACACAACTGTAAATTCAGACATGTGAGGTTGTGCTGAAAAGAATGACACCAAACAAGGCAAAGTAAATAGTTTTTAAAGGTGAAATGTAGAGGTTTAATCAAAAGTAGTTAAAAATGGCCAATTATACCCTGGACCCCAGAGGGTTACATTTTTTTTTTTTAAAGTAACGCAATAGTTACTTTTCAAGTAATTAATTACTTTTAGAATCTTGTAACTCAGTTACTTTTTTGAAGAAGTAACTAGTAACTATAATTAGTTACTTTTTCAAAGTAACTTGCCCAACACTGGAGCAAACACAGTGATGTTGCCTTTTCACAGTCACAAAGCTTTACGGTGATCCAGTGAAAAGGCACCTTTCACTTCAACGTCCCAGCAAAATGCATAAAGCGAAAGCTAAAAGTCTGAAACCCATACTGATATTTAACATTTTACAATAACAAGCACAACCTGCAATTCCAACTTCCAGATTTCTGTTGTTTTTATATATCCTCAAATGTTAGAGCACGCATTTGTCCATTTTGCAACATTGTTTTAACTTCCCAAAATCTGAGTTCAAGTCCAGACATACTTTCAGTTGTACAAATAGGAAATAAGTTGATTATCTTGGATATTTGTACCTTGTGTTGTGAAACTGGTGTGTACAGCACTTTTTTTTTTTCTGGTTAGAGCCCTTCCGAGATCTGTAGAACCGATCTATTTAAATACAAAAATTTGGACAAAGTGGCGGTTCTTGTTTTGTTTTAGATACCCTGTGCAGCGTACATACTGAGGCTGCTGTTACTCTGGAACCAGATGGGGGCAGTTTACATTTACACAAGTTTAAGATACAGATTGCCATTAAGTTTGAGACAGTTTTGCTGTTGTACAATCAATTATTTTCAATACGTTAAATGGACGGCATTGGCTAACTTCCATCCATCCGTTCATGACTCCATCGGTTAACATGAAATGCTTTAAAATAAGCTCATATTATACCTCGTACTGTCACTTGGCTACTCTGCAAACACTTCTTTAGCAAACACATTTCTGATATTGTGACATCCCTACTTCTATGTCAAGTTTTCCTGCCCTACTTGGGATTTTTCAGAGGGCTCAAACCTTTAATTGGTGATTGTAAACTGGGAATGAATATTGCGACTGGTTGTCTGCCTCTCTGTGTTAACACTGTGCTGGACTGTCAATCTTGTCCAGGACACACCCCTTTTTTCCCTGACAAAGTGGTGCTATCTCACAAACTAACATATCAAAGTGTCCATCCACCTATATGTCCTGTTAAGTGCTTATCCAATGCAGGATAATGGGAGGTTGGCACCTGTACCAGCTGTCACTGGGTGAGAGGCAGGGTTGAATCGAAATCTTTTTTTCTGTGAGGCGGCAGTGCTAATGTCATCACCACTGTACTGCTCAGACTCTTATTTTTGTCTATTATTGCTCCGTAATGATGGTTAGGAGCAAACTGTTGCATTCTTGTTTTCGTCATACTGGACAGAATAATTTGTCTTTGATTTAGATTTAGCAGAAATTTGGTGGAATTCAGTAAGCTCCAAACAAGATGATGACTTTGGTCTGATGGGACACAGAAAAACTCATTTGTGCACAAAAATGTTCCTCTGAGCAGACACGTCAATGAACTGAGCTGTGCCGCTTTCTGTGCTCTCCACACACCCACTCAGTCCGGAGGTCTATTTCAGCAACAGAAAATACCTGTTAAGGAGGTCAAGGGGCATATAGGTCCTTAAAACTTATTATATAATAAGGTAACTGCCTGCATTTGTTTATTATCTGTGTGGTTGTGCTCAAAAATGCAAAACCGGTTCAGTTTTGATTATTTGAAATCTGAATAATGCGTGGCAAAATGCAACACACAAATAACCAACAACAGAGTTGTGTTTTCTCTAATGTAATGAGGCGATATTCAAGCTGTTGTGTTCAGAGGGACAAAATGAAAACTGGAAAGTTAAACACCCATGTTTGATAACGACGACAGCTTCATCTCACAAGCTAACATTCCACCAGAATGACCTGAGACTGACCTCCAAGTGGTAACCATAAAACTGACAAATTGGACATTAGCCATGCAGAAGAAGACAGCCAAAGGAGGCCAAGTGCTAATATGAATTATGACAGAATTTGGGAGACCTGCAGAACTCCCACAGTAAAGATGGTTGAACAATGAGGCTGTGTTTTAAATATAAGACATGAAAAGAGCTGAGGAAATTTGTTCTGATACATCATCGTGTGCAAGAGACATCTCACCAGGTCAGGTATGAATATGGTGCCTGCAACAGATAGTGGACAGATAGTGTGCAAATATGAGGATGACCTCTCCCTGCATGGAGGGGAGTTATCATACATTTTAACTATCATGGATTTACCACATTGGTCTTTGTGATAGCACTGTTCAAGCAGCTTGATACTTATTCAGGTACTTATCCTCAGTTTAATAAATCATAACCAATAATGTTTTTGCCAAGCTTCAATTATCACATTGCTCAGACTTAAGATACATATTAAATATTCCTAAATTAAATAATTATGTCTTTCATAATTGATACAGGTTTCGAGCAGCTGTATCACTCAAGTTTCTCTAAGCAGATACAACTGAACCCTGTACTAACCCGCCCACTTTTTTTGCATTTCAACTCCCCGAGCCGAACGTATCAAGTCGACATTAAAACGCACTGAGGAAATCTAAACCAGCCTGTACGGGCACATTCCTGCTTACCAATCAAAAGAGGGCTTCTCTCCACAGTCAAAGGCATCCTGCAGCTCTTTGACCAGGTTGGCCTGTCCTGGCAGCCTGAAAAGGCCCTCTTCCTGAAGACCCCTCTGCCGAATGAAATCCACGCACTGCTCTACCAGCATAGGGGCGAGCTTGTTCCCAAACCGGCGTTCATACCGCACGGTCTCTTCCAGCTTCTGACCAAAGATCCCTGAAACATACACACACACAAAGTTTACTAATGCTATAAAGGTGATAAATGTCAACTCTTCAGTTCAGTTCCTTTTTATTTCAAACATGTACATTCACAATCATTACAAAATATCATTCCATTTTTTTGTTTGAAAAGGAGTAGGCAGAAGTATACACTTATACTCTATTTATGCTGTTTACATTTTGTTATGCAGCCAAGCTTATAATTTAATACAGTGTGTACAAGATATTTATTCATATTTTTTTTTTTATCTGGAGAAATCAATGCTGTTTAATATGTTGAACTCCCTGACATTTCTCAAAGAATTGCAGAGGCCATTAGCATACCATCTACAGCTCAAGTAACATCAAAGAGAGCAGTTAAATCAATTGAAAGGAATTTATGATAAGGTTTTCCTGACAATCCAAGCAAATAAAATGTAAAATATTCTCTCTCACACACACACACACACACACTTAGTCTGATGATCAAATCTCTAACTTCCTGAGCACCTCTCGCCTTTTGTCCGGGGCAGACGCTGTAGAAAAAAGGCAGCCTGATTTCCATTTACAGCCGTCTCATGTGGATGCAACACAAGAGGGGATTAAAGCTGCCTTCCTGAGAGATTTGGATCTGCATACTTTTCCAGTCTGACACTAAAAAAAACTAGAAGCTTAAGATTTTCAACAGGTGTATTGAGACTTTTCCCACAAACTGCTGCAAAGGCTTCAAAACATTTCTCATTAGAAGCGAATGTGATTACTCACCCCTCTTAAAAATGACGCAACTTTTAAGTTTCCAGAAAAAAGGCCTATTAATAAATTTGTGATAAGAAAACATACCAGAGGTGCAAATTTTCAAGTGCGTGCACACAAGCAATTTCCCAAAACCAGCCCTAATCTTTGCAGAAATGACAGAGAACAAAACAAAAGCAGTGGAATAGACTGGATGCATCAGTTTGACAGCGGGTCGGCCAAACTGTTCTCATTTCCATCTCTCAGAAAGCTGTCTTTGCTTGATGAGAAGAAGCTCCTCAGAAGTCTGGAGTCGCTCTGGGATTTTGCCACTTCAATCTTCACAGCAACCCCAATATGACAAAACAGTGAAATATCTGAAGCTGTGGGTCCACTTTTCCAAATATTAGACAGACCAGAGTAAAATACAGAAGAGCTCAGCTTCACTTTAGTAAAGAATGATTAATATCCGCGTGTATCGAAAAGAGAAGAAAGGGGGGAAAAAAAATGAGTGAAAATGAGGTCATCCCTCCAGACGTTCTGGTCATGAGTCTAGGAATGTTTTCCTGGGTCAGATGTGAGTGTGTGTGTGTGTGTGTGTGTGTGTTTGTGTGTGTGTGTGTGTGTGTGTGTGTGTGTGTGTGTGTGTGTGTGCACCAGCTTATGCAGAGTGTGAGCAAGTGTTTATATGAATATTTGGCGCTCCCAATAGTGCTGGATACGGGACAAACCACAAGACCAAAGCGTGCACATGAGTGACATCTCTGCAAAAAATCTTAGTATCTGCCAGTTGCACAGAATCTCTCTCTCACTCACACACACACAAGTATAAAAGTGATTTTAGTTCATGGACAACATACAACCTGTTTTATCAAATACAAACCAATAAGAAATTTCATGATAATCCACATAAAAAACCTCGAATTGCTTCTCTGACCTTTAGTGTAAAGGTAAAACATGCAAACGTGTAAAACATTTGCATTTAATGAACTGCCAATTTACAAAACTGACGAGGCCGGTCTGGATTGTCGTTAAGGAAATAAAGTTTAGATTCAACAATACGCCTCCAGACAGAAACATGCTGACGCAGCTCTGTTTGTTTTACCATCGCTCGGTGTGCCGTGGCAGGACTTAGGTAATGCCTTCGTTATTAAGATGGTTTAAAACGTAACGATGATTCAGAGATTTGGTATGGATGAAATTAACAGTTAGGACAACTACTCTCGGAGTGTGATCTGTATTTATGATTAGAAGAATGAACATAATTTAAAATTTGCCACTTAATTAGACACAATATGGTTAAAAACATTTGTTCCCTCCTACTGATAGTCTATAAATACTACTTAAAGCTCAGAAGCATAATATAAAGGCAAATGGTGGCTGATCTCACATCCCGACTGACGTTTAAAAACAAACTTTCTCCAGCTTTTATGGAGTTGAGATCAAAGGAAGTTTAGAAGAGGACACTGCAATCCAAAGCCAGAAGACAGATAAGCAGCACACAGTTAAGTACATTTATCTGTGGGGTCACATTTAAAAGCAATTTTTTTTACTGTAAGTTATGACAGTTTTGGAAGCCACATTGAAGCTGAAAGTGCACAAGTACGCAGGAGGTGAGGAGCTGAATTAATAGATGAAAATTGTTATGACCACCACTATTACTGAAAGTCAGTGCGGCACAGGGATCAGACAAAACTGGACAGAAATGGCACAGCAGTCTGAAATAGCTGACATTTACCACAGGGAACATGGCTTGGAAATGAGGCATTTTGAAAATATTAAAAGAAGCTCTTTTCAAATTCAAACACTTCCCCAAACTACGAAAAGACAACTGACATTTACCATGACACAGATCTCCAAAGATCCAGACGGAAAAGCCGCAGCTGCACATCTCACACTCTTTCCTGCTTAAGTGTTTGTTGCGGTTAATGCCACATCGCAGCGAGTGGCATCACAGCATGACGGTAAAGGTTTCAAGGGGGGCTCATTCATTCTGGCAGCCGCCTTCCTGTCACTTACTGAACAGAGTTTCACCACACTTCAGGATCACTCGTCAGCCAATCCGTGCTCAGCTAGCTTTTGCTGCTACTGCAAAATGTGAAAAGCTGGAATATGTGTGTGTGGTGTGTGCGCGCATGTGTCTGGGCTCTGTATATGTGTGCATGACAGAGACAAAGACAGCCTGGCTCTGGTCCAGCATGGAGCCACCTTTCGTGTGGTATCTTTGACGAATGGCTCATCCTTTTGAAGAGCAGTCAGCTGCAATAGACATCAAGCTGCCTGCACTGAAAACAGAGGGGCCAGCTCTGCCTCCTCTATTCATTTTGTTACCGAGAGCTGCCTGGACTGGCTGTCCAGTTACAAATGCTGCACTTGTGCCCTGTTCTTACACAAAGTAGGCTGGTGTCTGCCAGTGTGGTGGATAACGAAACCACGGCGGCGCAGCGGGAGGCTCGGTAATCAGCGCGCTAATTCCAAAGTCAGGAACAACTTCATGAGAACAATTACAGCATCATGCACTTGAGCGATGACTCACAGCTTATTTTATGATTAGATTTCAGCTCACTTGACACATGTAACCGCTATAGAATGCATTTGTGTTCTTTTATTAGCATGACCAGGCTGGGTAGAAATGAAAAACAAAAATGCTATGTGGAGATTCAAGAAGCACAGACTTGGATTTGACACTTCAAAAGACACTGAAAACATTATTATGTCAAGTAATGGCCAAGTACTGTGATAATGCCACCCGGAACACATGCCATGATGCCACAAGGGGAAAAAAAGGTTTTAAATGCCAGCACACTCTTATTTTATACTCAGTGGACTTTACCAGCTCTTTGTGCCATAGACTGCTGCTTGAAACATCCACATTACACAGTTGCTGCAGATTTGTCCCGTTCCACCACATGCCAGAGGTGATGGATTTAAGATCTGCTGACTGTGGAGGCTATTTCGTTACAGTGAACTCACTCAGAGTTCAAAAAGCCACTTTGAGATTATTTGAGCTTTGTAAAATAGCATGTCTTTCTAATGGAAGCTTCCATCAGTAGGATACACAGTGATGATGAAGGGATGGACATGGTGTCCAAGTGTCCCAGAAAATACCCGACACCATTGCATCACCACCAGCAGCCTGATCATTTGATACAAGTAATCTATGCTTTCATGCTGTTTACACCAAATTCTGCATGTTGCAGAAATCAAGACTCATCTGATGAGGAAATGCTTTATTGTTTTTTTAAATCTTCTGTTTTCCTATTTTAAAGAGTAGGTGTGAATTGCAGCCTCAGTTTCCTGTTCTCAGCTGGAAGGAGTGGCAGTCAGTGTGGTCTTTTGCTGCTACAGTTCATGTGCTTCAAGTTCAATGTGTTGTCCATTTAGAAATGCTCTTTTGCATCACTGTTCAGCAGACTGGTCGTTCTCCTCTGGCCTCTAGAGCAAACATGACACTTCCTGCCAGAGAACTGTCGCTCACTTGAGGTTTACTCTTTTTCTCTGTAAACCATAAGGACGGTTGTGTTGGACAACAACCATGGCCAGAGATGGGCGCGTTACTGCAATCTGATTACTTTTTTCAAGTAACGAGTAAAGTAAGGGATTACTATTGCAAAAACGATAATTAGATTACCGTTACTTTCCCGTAGGAACGCTGCGTTACTAAAACCGTGATTTTTTGCGAGAATGTCTCATGACAGTGACGTAAGCGAGTGCGCCGTTAGTGACAACAGCTGTGTGCAGATCAACAATGGATCACATATCGATTGTGGGAGAGAGTATGAGCGTGCAGCGTTTAAAGCGTGGAAGTACTGACCTTACTTTGAGTTTGATTCCATAAAAAGTGACAAAAACATTAGCTGTCCTCTGTGCGTGGGAAGAAAACTTCTTTTTACAGCGAAAAAAACCCCTAAACTTCCAAGCAAGCACCGAGTGCGCACGACGTAATGGGAAACTCACAGAGAAACTCGCGGATTCTTCAACTGACCGCGGCACACCTGCACCAGGGTAAACCTCCGCCTACCGCAGTCCTGCTTTACAGGTGAAAATAGAGCAACAGGACCGCTGAGTCTTTGACTTTATTTATTTTCTGCTGTGTTTTACTTGCATCTATTTGAAAGAGTGAGTGTAAACACAAAAAATATTTTATTTTATGTGCTGGAATGTGCAGAAAATAGGTTTAAATGTTAAACTAATTTATTCAAGTCAGAGAATGTTGCATATAATTAAATTTTTGCTTGATGCATAAAGTTAAAAGATTAAAACTGATAAAACAAGTTAAAAAAAGAGACTTTTCCATTTGATTACATTTTGTATGATGGATTATGTAGAAAAAGTAGAATTGGGCTGAAAGATCTATCGCTTTATCACCTCTTCAGGTTGTAAATCGTGTTTTTAAAAAGTAACTAAGTAACTAAGTAATTAATTACTTTTGAAAATAAGTAATCAGTAAAGTAACGGGATTACTTTTGGGGGGAAGTAATCAGTAATTAGTTACTGATTACTTTTTTCAAGTAACTTGACCAACACTGACCATGGCACATTCAACGTCGCTTAAATCACCTTTCGTCCCCCTTCTACAGCTGTGTTTGAACTTCTGCAGGTTGTCTTGCTGATGTCTACACATTCAAACAGTTAAAAACAGAATAATTCAAATAAATGTTACCACTAATACGCTGTGTGTTCAGATGCTCTTCTACATATCTTGGACACGCAGAAGAGCATATCCAAAATATGTAACTAGTAGTTATTTTAATTACTTTGCTTTCCTATGAACTTGAAGTAGTCTGGTATTGTCTTCTGCGGTATCAACAATTAATTTTTACCCAGAGAATCTGGGGTAGTTTCAGTTTTTCAGACCATTCTCTGTAAACCCTAGAGACAACTATGTGGGAAAATCCCAGTAAATCAATGGTTTCTGAAATACTGAGACCAGTCTGTCTGGCATTAATAACCATTCCACTTTCAAAGTCACTTAAATCTCTTTTCTCCTCCATTCTGATCTTCAGTTCGAGATTCAGCAGGTCATCTCGACTATATCTACATTGTATAAATATATTCATCTGTGTTTTTGCATCACAATCGTTTGTTACTTCTGATATAATTCAAATGACAATAAAGCAGGTAAACTTTGAATGCACGTTCCACAGGTATGCACATTGTATAAATATATTCATATATTAAGACTTTTACTTGTCCAAAATGGGTTTTGCTGACCAAAAGGTCCCTTTTCAACATATCAGCTTTATCTGGCCTAAACACAGAGTGAGTTTATACATTCAGGTAGGGGCTAGAGCACAATGCTGTGAAGAGAAGATGTGGGCTGGATTTACTGGAGACAAAACATCTTCAACGTCTTCGTTTCACAACTGTTGGAAACCAAAATAGTATGTACTAACCTCCACCAAAAGGCGCCCAGATGACTCTTCGGATTGTCTTCACCCAGTCTTCCATGTCATTCTGGGTGCTGGCCATAAGAAGGTAGGTCTCATGGTTGGCTGTCATCCGCTCTCTTTCTCCACCTGTATAAATAAATGGGAGGAAAAATTTAAATGATGCAAGATCCAAAACTGCACGCTCTCCAGCAAGAACTAAAATAACATGAATCGAGAATAACGTTTTTCAGCACGACAAGAAATCACCAGCTGGCTGCAAAACACATTTCTGAACGGACAGAGACTAATGACAAGATAAGACCTTCTGGTAACCAAGGTTGCCATTAAATGTCTTTGTTTGACATAAATTACTTGAACTCCATTTCACAACTATACGTCTTCTGAAACACGCGCACCACACAGTCAACGGCAAATGCTCGTCTCTCAGCATGTTCCATTAGAGGCAGGCTCTGTATCTTGATTTAACCTGTGGATAATGGCCACAAGCACTCTCCTGTCATGTCATACCAGACAGACTGAAGTGGAGACTGTACCTGTTTCACATAACCAATCTGGCTGAAGTGATCACTATGACAACAGAGCCTTTACATCAGCTTCATCGAGATAAACAAAACAACTCGCTGCATTTCACAGGGATGCAGCGGGCCTGCTGCAGAAGAGACGAGCTCTTAAGAAGACAAATGAGGCGTCAGACTAGCAGTTTAATTATTTATGACTCTGACCACCAGGGATCCTGCCACAGTGATAGCATCAGATGGATGAAATCTGCATGTTGCATATGAAAACTATTAATAGACTAGAACACAACATGACAGGTCAGCAAAGGGGGGGGGGGGTCAGGTTTACTCCTAATGAACTGAAACAAAGAAAGAGATAAAAAGAGATGCCTAAACTGTTTGCTGGCTCACACAGAGAGTCATGCATGTGTTTACTGTGAATGTTGCATAAATAGTGCTTTCAACACCTGAGCTGTCAGTTTGGTGCCCGCCTTTGACAGTTAGATTGATCCTTCTTGTAATGCAGCAGATGCCAGTGTTTGCTCAGTTTGCCATGTTCACTATGTTTATAGATGACAAACTCCCTTTCACAAACACACAATGTGTACACACGACAATAAGTAGACTGACTATACTTAACGCAGAGGATAAGCTTCTATCATCTGTTGGTATGGCATATTTGAAAAGAAGTTTCAGATGAGGAATAGTTAAAAATGCAAGGCTAGTATCGCGTTACGAAGTGTGTAAACTTAAAAGCGCCTTCTGTTACCTGTAGGCTTCTCAAAATCCCATGACTAACAGCACAGACATCACAGCATGTGTCAGCATGTATCAATTTAGTGGGGTGGGGTTCTCTGTGTCCTGAAGAATAGGTAAAAAAAGGAAATTTGTCTTCCTATCTAAGGACAATACATTTGCTGTACTTTTGCATGACCTCAAGGTTACTGGTACATTACCAGCACTCCCCAACTGCGCTAATCAGTTTGATACAGTTGAAATAAGCAGAGTAGAGGTTCCCGGCACAACTTCATCACTTCCAATTTGCATGGAGAAGAGGAAAAAAATTGGAAGAGGCCCAAACTCCAGGAACACTTGAAACGTATGTGTTTTGGCTGGTAGACTTCACCAAGTTGCTACAATTTTGACCTTTTTATACAGTAAAGATTACACAAAAATCTAACTAAAATACCCAGCAATGTTTTACAAGCAAAAAATACAATACAGCAAATACATTTTGCCAAATTTGACAGTATTCAGACTTTGAAGACACCTCAATCATTAAGTTAAATTAAATTTACCTCATCATTAACAGCCAAGGATGACAATTAAGGTTACATGTGCCATAAAACACAAACTAATCCAATAGGGGGCTACCTTTAGTTAGCAACTATTAGATCCAGCCATCAATCCATCCATTCGCTTCCGCTTATCCTTTTCAGGGTCGCGGGGGGCGCTGGAGCCTATCCCAGCTGTCATAGGGCGAAAGGCAGGGTACACCCTGGACAGGTCGCCAGTCTGTCGCAGGGCCAACATACAGGGACAGACAACCATTCACACTCACACCTAGTGGCAATTTGAATTATCCAATTAACCTATCCCCACAAGCTGCATGTCTATATAAAAATCATAAAAGTAGTTATGTTTGAAGCCACTCTTTAAACCATTTTATTAATAAAATAGAAGATCTGGCGGGTTGCTAATGTTCATATGGTTCCTAAATATCATTACAGCAGTACGTGTAGCTGTTTAACCTATTGATAATCAATCTAAGCATCCGTTAATCACCGTTAGAGTAAAAGTTCCTGATCAATGCTTGCAAAGGTTTGCAATTTGGCTCTCACATTAAAGTCGTTTAAGTTTTGATCCATTTTTCGATCGGTATCCAGAAACTAAGAGTCATTCTCACAGTAGTCTAATGCGCTCTCTCGCGTTCCTAATCCAGTGATTAGTCACGACCCGCTATTGATCGTTCGCAGAGTTCCCATTAATTAATTACACTTTGCGCGAAGCGGATACGATTCATTAACCTTGCCACGCCCACATATTTACCTTTGAAGACACTTGACGTTTGTGTTTATGCGTGCAGAAAACTTATTCGGTCGTTCCAGTAAATGTTTGAACGTGGCCATTCACGAGGAAAACAAAAACAAAGCGGCAGCTTTAGTTCACCTCCCAACCGCACAAATCACAACCGCAGCGTCATTTTACCTTCCCTCGAACTGCGACACGCAGTCGGTCAGTCATTCAGTGAGGCCGTTTGTCAACGAAAACAGAACCAAAACGGTGCACTAACCGGTAACCGAGGCGCTCACTCGTGCTCGCACATGGGAGTGTTTCTTTGGCCACCGGCGTAAAAGCTCCGTCGCTCCAAAACACTTCTCGCTTGCGAGACCGCGCCTCCTCTTTTAATCCAGCACGGAGTCCTCCGTGTAGCAAACTCGAGAAAGCGGGGGATAAATATTAGCTTTAATTCAAAGAGCGGGTGAGAGCGCCACATCGATGGGTTTGAGTGTGCCTACTGTTTCCGACACACCGTGTGAGACTGTGGCGACCAGGGCCGTGCAAAGCCGTTTCGGGTTCCAGGGCGAATGATTTACTCCTTATGGTCCAACTTCCCCTGTTGTCAGTACTGAACTCACTTGTTCCTGCTGAAGGCATAGGTCATTCCAAATGGCTCACTACAATTTCAATTCATTTTTAACGTCATATATCCAATGTTACATTCTCCATTTACATTTATTTCACGTGTCACATTCAACATAGTAACTTAACGCTCACCAAATGTTTTCTGTATATGCCGTGGAATCTTGTCACCGTGTAAATATGAAATGAAGAATTTGAAAAAGTGGCAGAGGCTAGTTTGTATAATATTAGATGTAAAGCAGACATAAGCAACCAATTAAACAACAACACAAATACAATGTATTTTATTTTTGCAACTATGAGGTAACATATCAAAGTTGAAGGATTGTTAATAAATTATGCTATAAAATCAAACATTTTTAGAAATAAATGCACATTATTCAAATTTTTGTTGCAGTTGACTATCAGTGTTACATTTTGACATTAATATGATATAATTTAAAATGTAAAGCAGACCTAAGCAGCAAATTGAAGAACATTGTAAATGGAATGCATTTTATTTGTGTAATTATGTGGTGACATATCAAGGTCAAAGCATTGTTAATATATTATACCCTCAAATATAACACTAAAGAAACAAATGGGATATTTTGTAACTGTGTAACAGCCTTACATTCGTTTTTACTCTTGTATCACAGTCACCTCAAACACCTTGAGACGACTGTTGTGAATTGGTAGTGTATAAATAAAATTGAATTGAATTGATTTGAATGATATCATTTTAAACTTAAAGCAGACAATACAGATGTGAATACTGCAGCCATTCCCCAACTCTCTGTGAATGGTTCTCATGGCCATTGATCAATGGGCTTTGATCAGTGGTTGGTGATCAATAGTTATGACAATTTGCATATTAATGATCAAGGAACTCACCTCAAAGCCCACTGTTCATTCAGCGGGCTGGTTTCAGTCACTGTGCAAATGTACTGTTTATAAGGTTGGGGAAACCTGCAGTCAGCTGAGACTGAACAAGTCACTTGGATGAGTGACGAAACATTTCTCCCAGTGAAAACGCTACATCCAGATGAACAGAAGACTTGTATGATTGGGCATGCATCAAGACGACTTACTGTGCAGAGTTACAGATGCATTCTTTCTAATGGCCTGCAGGGGGCAATGGATCCAAAAACAAGTAGGATTATATAAAGGCGAATAAGAAAATCACCAACTGGTCATGAGCTGATGACGTTTTGATCTGAATCGCTAGTTTTAGCGTTTATCATCAGGTACATTTTGTAAATTTGGTTCACTATGGAGTAAAATCAATAATAAAGAAATGACTACTGTATGAGCAGGCACTTCAACCCCTTGCTTGTGATACCTAAGATGACTAGACATCCAGTCTATGAGTGTAGTTCACTGATGTATTTCTTTTATAAGCTGCCCATAATGCATACTAGTTAACAATTAAATCTTCTTAATTTTGGTCTTTTCATGTGGTACACGACCTTTGAACAAGGCAAAGAAAAAAAAAGTTGGGTTTTTTTGCCTTGTATTACAAGCTGATTTGACTCGTATAAGTTTACACTGCATATTTCAAAAAGAGAACCCAATCTTAAGAAACTAAAATGAATCCATATATGCACATTAAAGCACAAATGATGAATCCGTTTACTATGCAGCAGCAGGTCCAGTGTAACAGCAATAATTAATTAGGCTGTAGTATCAAGGAAATGACGCATGCGTAACGCTTTATACAAACTGCCTCAACAAGGTCAACCTGACATATTTCTCAACCTGAGCATGTGATTATTCTTAACCACTCCTTTGAGTCATTACCCACAGTTACACCAATCACTCCCACTGGCCAGAAAGGTTTCTGACTCAGAGGCATCTCCACCCTGCCAGCATTGTTTGCGTTAATTGTCATACAAAGTAACTGCAATTCCCTGGTGTCCCTTTGAGTTCCTCTGTCCACATTTAAAATCAATCAGCCTTCCATTACTTGCATGGACAGACAGAGCATTTCCTCTCGGAAACAACAGT